AATTAAGTCTTTTTATAAACTTCTTCAAAAAAAAAAAAAAAAAAAACTAATGCTTGCGCGATGCCTGATTCATAGGCTGTAATTACAATTTTACCCGTTTCCCGCCTAAACCAAACTCATCATCCCCTTCTTCTCAAAGGAGAAGGGTATCAGCAGCCACCGGGCATTGAAACGGTGGCGAGGATGTCAGTAAAAGAAGATGTGGCGGAAGACATTAAAGCACTTGCGAAGTTTTTGATAAAGCACTGTAACCATCAGCTCCGCACCATTACTCTCTCTAGAGACCCTAAGCTTCATTACCCTCTCTTTGTCGAGTATGTCATACCTTCCTCTCTTAACTAATTTTCTATTTCCATATCTAATACCTACCTCTATCTCTCAGGTTCGCGGATCTCTTAAGTGAGAATCCTCCCCTTGCCCACTGCGTCTTCTCTCAACCACGCGAATACTTACGATATTTCGACGATGCCGCCATCTGGGCTCATGTATGTAGTCTCCTTCAGTATATGTGTGTATGGAGGATAAAAGTTTACTGAGAACTTCATTTGGACGCGGTTATGGGTTTAATGTCTATATATAAGCTACTCAATTTGAGGAATTTGATGTGGGTGTGGGCCGTTTATGCAACTTTTGACAGAATGATTCATCTATAACGTCTATGCGGTCAATAAATGAGTCATAACATGATCAATTTTATGCAGAATTAAATGTGTGTACAGATATGGTTATTTGTTCGCTCAGTTGAAATTTGTAGAGAAATGATTTTGATTTGGATAATTTCACTCTGTTAGAAAATTTTATTGGACGAAATGAAGAAAGATACAGAGGAAAAATGTGGGACCGCGAAGAGGTTCATTCATGTTCGTATCAGCTGTCATTCACTTCAATTTCCTGGTTTGTGTTTTTCTTTATTTTCTTCAAGTGTTCGGTAATTTTTTTTTTTCTTTGCCTACTTTTGTTGATGCTGTTTAACTTTTTTATTTTGGTTAACGAGTAGTTTTTAATGTGAATAGAAGCTTCTCCCAGTATTGGGTGTGTTAGAGCTAGACACCGAGGGATTCTGCTTTCTCTCAAAGGGACTGTAATTCGGTCTGGAGCAATTAAGATGTGTGAGGGGGAGAGGATGTACAAATGCCGGAAATGTAAACACATGTATGTTTTATCTCTGTCTCATTTACTTTGGGGTGCTTATTAGGAATAGTTTTCCTGCTTGGCATACCAGACCTTTTTAAATTTTGATCTTTGTTTAATCAGCGGGTGAATTGGTCAAATAGGTGTATGCATTTTGCCCAAAGGTAATACTTTTCCAAATTGTTATATTGTCCAGCTTTCTTATTAAGGTTCTGAGGTTTTCCGATAATATGGGGAAGATCTGGGGGTATGCTTCTGCGATTGCACTGTACTATTAGAATGCTGTCAAAAAAAGAAAGCTGGCTGGTTGGAGAAACATAGAGCCAGCAAAATAGGCAGTTACAGTTTGAGGTCATTGGTAGACATATTGATCCTATCCGTATGAGGAAATTGTTGCTGGCTCACAGTGTAGTTGGTTTTTTCTTAGAAAAAATATTAAAATGATTGAATTGTTATTTTATCTAATATATATCCTTAACGCTGTCAAATAATTGATTATTAAATAATTTACTTTTAAATTTAAATTTTTCACATGGGAGTAAATTGATTTATAGATAACATTTAATAGATTGAGCATTTTCCTGCAAGTTTAAGTTAAAGGTTTTGGACGATCAATTCAACTCTACTATTCAGCATTTACCAAAAAAAACTCTACTATTCAGCATATTATAGGAGCCTTGTATTTGAATTCTAGTTCTCATCTCATTTATAGTAATTAACTTCAGAATAAAGAAAGATCTATGCTTGATCCGTATTAAGGCATAAATAATAGATTGAATAATTTTATTAGCTTAAACCTTTAAAAATCAATTTATTTTTATTATTTAAGATGGTATTGAGTTATTAATCCATCATTTGAATTCTTTCTGCTGCCTCATTTCCATTAATTAATTTCAGCATATAGTGTGCTTGTGCTTGAATCATGCTTCAGCCTAGCGGGCTTTGTGCCTAAGAGAACATGTCAATACTTAAATAATATACTGGATCACTTTCTATAGTTTAATGTTTTCAAAAAATTGGTTTAACCCTATTGTTTCACAGTTGCATGGAATGTATTACGTAGGAATCTAAAAGGAATTATTTGCTGCCTGAGATGTTATCTCTTTTGACAAGCTTGTTTAAAAGCTCCAGGATAAAAAAAAAAGATGTCACCAAAGGAAGAAGTGTAAAATTTAATGTAACAGTTAAAATTTTCAATTTATAGAAAGAGGTGCCAAATTGATGATGGTCATGTGTGTTGAAAAACAAATCTTATAGCTGACGTTACATGAATGTGCTGTTTGGAATTATTATGAAGCCAAGGCTCATAGTCTGTTTAAGATGACTTCTTGACTATTTTGCAAAGGGACTAGAACATGGTTATGTCTTGATTTACGTGCCTTTTCGTTTCTCCTTCTTTTTGTTACTTAGGAAGATTTCTTATCTGCTGCTGCTGCTATTTCTTTTTCTCTGCTGGTATACCTTTTTTCCCTCTTTCTGATAATAACCTTTTTTCCATAAAAAGAATTGTTGTAAAGGCTGGAGACTAGGTGCATCAAAAGTGGTGGTTCTGGAACCTTAATAATATTCTTTGTAACCTTTTTATGACTGAGGTTCTATGTTTGAATTTGCACTAAGATCTTTTTTTTTTCTTTTTAATTTTTTGATTTTCTATAGGTTGTACGTTTTACATATTCCTGAGCTTTTTTTGATATTCGGTTGAGTTTATAATGTAGGTTCCCCATTTATCCTGAGCTGGAAACAAGAAACTCCATAGTGAAGCCATCATTCTGCCCTTCTCAGGTTTAGTATCTATTCTGTCTCAGGACTAACATTTCCCCCCCCTTTAATTACTTCATTTTACACAAAGTCTTTAGGCAATACAGAATTTCCTCACTTGAAATTGCTTGATCATATACTTCTTTTAAAGAGAAGAAGATTCTATTAAGAACACCAAGAAAGTGCAAGAGAAGGTAAAGAGAGATGCAAAATTTACAATCCCCCAAAGGAGAGAAGATCAAAGAGATTCAAAATATCAACACCATCCTAAGTGGTTTGCCCTTTAAGCAAAATATTTAGAACTGTAAACCAATGATCTCTAATCTGATGAAAAGGGGAATAGTTGTCAAAAGCTCCATTGCTTTGCTCTTTCCATGTAACTCAAGAATAGGAAAGAGGAATGATAGAGATAATATTATTCTTGGACTTGTGGTAATCAATACCACTCCATACTTGTAACTCATTCTTAACTGAAGAACCCATCACCAAGTAGAGTTTGGAAGAGAGAGTGCAGAATTCCACAATCTTCTAGTCTCAAGACATAGAAAAAGAAGATGATTAGGGGATTCCTCCTTGATCAAGCATAGAGAACATCTATTACGCCCTTTATTCATCAGATTATCCGATGTTAAAATTCTACCAAGATTCCCCCAAGCAAAAAATGCAATGTAGGATGAAGCTTTAGTTTTCTACACTTTTTTCCATGGAAACCATTCAAGAATTTGGTTGTGATGATAGTGGTTGTAGAATGACTTGGCTAAGAACTTTCCATTTTCGGTGATCTTCCAAAATGGGAAATCCTCTTTGGAAGGATAAACAACATGTTTCTCTGGTAGCGTGAGAAGTGAAATCCAACCATCAATCTCCCAATCATTTAGGTGTATAAGGAAAGGGATATGCTACCAAGTTCCACCACTGTATAACTCAAATCAAATCTTGGAAAGGTTTATTCTACCAAGTTCCACTAGTATATACCTTGCAACAAATTTTTGCCTCGTTGAAATTGATCATGTTGAAGATGCTTGGGAATATATCCTTGAGGGGCTTTTCATCAACCCAATGGTCAAACCAAAAGTTGACTCTTATTTTTTCATTTGCCACCATAAATTTGATGTCGTTTAGAAAAGCGAGCTGCTCTTTGTTGAACCATCTCCATGGGCTACAACCATATTTGCCACCATCTCTACAAGTTGCAACCATATTTGCCTATGTGGTTGTTGGTCTTTGAACCTTTGTCATTTGATCCATATTTTGCAACAATGAACTTTCTCCACAAAGTATCATCCTACATGATGAATCTTCATTTCTCTTTAGGAAGCAAAATGTTACTGAAGTCTCCAATGTATTTAATGCTTAAAGTGCACATTCCTGATGATCTCTTAACTTTATCCCAAGCAACCATGTGAGATTTCTTCAGATCAACCTTGATCCTCCTATTGCAAAGTATCCATTCTTTTAACGACACTAGCAGGAATGTGAAAAAGGAACAAAAACTATAACTACTAAATTAGATAAAGCACGTATGATAAGAGTAACTCTCCCACCTTTTGATAAAGAGCATTTCTTCCAATTGAAGAGTCTCTTCTCTATTTTCTCCACAATAGGATCCCAAAACTCTCTACATATGATCCCGACACCAAGTGAGGTTTCATATATTTAATGAGATTAAGCCTAGAAACCGCTGGGAGAAACAAAGAGTAATGGCTCTTTAGGTTCAAAATAAATTCTTTGCTCGGCTTAAGGAATAGAAGAGAATCGTCTGCAAACAATAGATAAAAAATCTCCATATTATTACCATCATCACCGACTTGAATACCCTTCAACAATTTGAATTATGAAGCTCTGGAAATAATAGGCTTGAAGGCTTCCATGATAAGAATGAGCGATGAAAGGAATGGATCACCGTGCCTCAGATTCTTGGAAGTGCAAAAGAATTCTGAAGGGCTCCCATTAAAAAGAATTATTAATGACGACAAAAGACATCAAATTTTAGTAAATAATTGAGATTTTGGATGAAGTTTGCAATGTTTGAGTGCATTATCATTGTGGTTTTTATAAAGGATAAGTTTTGATTCTTTAGTGTTACTTACGATTAAAGAGATCTGATTTTGGTTTTCTTGTTAATTCTAGTTTATTATACGTGAGTTTCATGATACTATAATTTCTAATGAGTTTGTTTGTTATCTGCTGTTCCTATTGACAGAAGTCGAAACCTTGTGAAGGCACAAGCTTTGATTATGTAGATGATACACCAATCCTCCACGATTATCAAGAAATCAAAATCCAAGAAAGTTCGCAATTGTTGGGTGTTGGAGTCATTCCTCGATCAATTTTAGTTGTGCTACAGGATGATCTTGTTGATACTGTTAAAGCAGGAGGTACCACACTATGTCTTAGTTTCTAGTTGTTCTTCACAATTCCTTTCAATTCCACGAGCTTAAAACTTTTATCGAAGAAATTTCCTGCATAGCAAGAATTCAATCTGGCGGACCTAATGATTTGATTAGGACTTTGTTATGAAATTAAAGCCATAAAATTTTCTTCTTGTTTTCTAATGCTAAAAGTTATTTTTGAACATGCATTATTTATGAGTAGTTCTTTACACCTTATAAGTTACAAAAAGACCAAAAGTTCAGATAGCCCGTTTTTTATTTAGCTACTATCTCTAGTTCTAAATCCTAAATGATTTGAAATTTTTACCATTATTTGAAAATTTAACTTTCAATTGTTTATCGAATTAATTTTCTCATGAATTTTATTCTTTGTTATGGAAATAAAACTAGAGATTGTAGAGCTTGTTTTTAAAAAATAACTCTCGTTATTTTCTTAGTTATTTCCTTTGCTTTGTTATAGTAAGAGAATCTTGCTACAAGTTGGAAGGATTTAGACTCCATTTTATCGAATGAAAATCATTTTTTTTGGAATAGTAGTAAAAATGAAGATGAAGTTTGAAAATAACAAAAGATTACTTCTATTGTTTTATAAAAAAGTGTGTTTATTTTTGTTGTAACTAGTATAAGTTTATTTGCATACTTATATCTTGTTTTTTGTGGCACAAGATTTGTCCATCTCTTGTGTTTAATTATTTGGTTTCTTATTTTCACAGACGATGTCATTGTCACTGGGATCTTGACTGCAAGGTGGTCTCCTGATTTAAAAGATGTACGCTGTGACCTAGAACCTGTATTAATTGCTAACCATATCAGGTAAGTGGGGTTGTATTTTTTTTTCTCCTTTCATTTCACTCCTTAATTAATTTAATCTCTTGAGGAACTGTGTATTGGTTAGCTTGGAGAATGAAATGTGTATTTTATTGAATAATAGGATCTTATGTATACAGGTTTTGTGAATAATAAAAGGAAACACTATTAGTTACATGAATGATTATATTATTAATACTCTTTACCCTAGTTACGACACAAATGCACTTTCCAACAACATTTTCTCTCTCTTTTTTTTAAATGCAAAATGCAAATTGTTTTAGTTACATGCAAGCAAGTGTAAAAATCCATGTGCAAAAAGAATTTACATATTGTAAGAATTAAAGAAAATAATATTGAATATTTACTTGCGTTTTATTGAAATAAAAGTAGAGATATATAGACATATAAACAGATTCATATATGATAACCAACATAAATTATCCTAATAATTTTGTTCCTAATTACGTTTACATATTTGAAAAAATAATTATACTATTATGTACAGAAATTATTTTATAATACTCTAACATTCTCCCTCAAGCTAGAGCATAAATATTAATCATGCTGAACTTGTTCCGAAAATACTCAATCTATGTTTCATTCAGAGACTTTGTGAATATATCACTAAGTTGTTTTCATGTCTTCACATAACCAATAGATATAAAGTTTTCCTAAATATTCTCTTGGATAAAGTGACAATCAATCTCGATATGTTTGGTTCTCTCATGATTCACAGGATTTGAGGTAATATGAAAGACAGTCTGATTATCTCACACAGAGTTTTGCAGGAGATGTGGGATTCAAACCCATTTCATCTTAAAGATCATATATCCATAAGATTTTGCATGTGGACTGAGTCATATCTCTATATTCAGACTCTATGTTTGAGCGAGATACAACTGTTTGTTTCTTACTTTTTTATGATATGAGATTCTCACCAATAAAAACACAATACCCCATAATATACTTCCAATCAATATTAGATTCAGCCCAATCAACACCTGTAAAACATTTAATATGAGTATGTTTGTGATTTTTAAACATTATGCCGAGTCTTAGGGAACCTTTTAAGTAGCACAGAATCTGTTCTAGAACCTTACAATATCTAATTGTAGGTGCGGATATAAATTGATTTGCAATACTGACAGAATATGTAATATCTAAACGAGTCACAGTGAGGTAATTCAATTTCCTAATCACTAACCTGTATTTTTTTGGATTATTAAGGGGATCACCATCATCTTTTGTAAGATGTATATTTGGTATCATAGGCGTATTGCATGATCTACCTTCTAGTTTTCCTGTTTCTGGAAGTAGATCAAGTATATATTTCTTTTGAGATAACAAAATCATTTCCTTATTTCTTGTTACTTCAACACTCAAAGAAATAGTTTAGCTGTCCCAAGTTTTTGACATTGAACTTGATATGCAAGAATGACTTGAGAGAGGATATTTCTGCACGGTAATCTTTTATAATCACAATATTATCAACATAAACAATAACAAATATAATACCAGCTGTTGATTGTTTATAAAAGACTGGATGATCACACTTGCTCTTTTTTAATTCAAATTTACGAACTACCTCACTAGACTTAGCAAACCACGCATGGGGACTCTGCTTCATACCATACAAATATTTTTTCAAATAACAAACTTTCTCATACTCCACTTGAGCAACGAACCCAGGTAGTTGCTTCATATACACTTATTATAAAAGATGTACTTTGAAAAAATGCATTTTTAATGTTCAGCTAGTGTAAGAGTCAGTTTCTGGAGGATGCAATAAATATGAATAAATAGACAGAGATAAGTTTGATCACTGGAGAGAATGTATTAGAATAGTTCACCCCATAAGTTTGAGCATAACTTTTTGCTACCAATTGAGCTTTAAGTGTTGCTACAGAGCCATCTGTATTCACTTTGACTGCAAATACCCATTTGCGCCCTACAACCTTTTTTTCTTTGGGTAAATCTATTAGATCATATATATGATTATCATCGACAGTATTTATCTCCTCAAGTATGATATCACGCCAATTAGGGCAATCCAAAGCCTCCTTAATTGTTTGGAATATAGAAGTGGAATCTATAAAAGAAATTAAAGAGTTAGACGAAGGAGACAAATTATCATATGAAATGAAATTAACAATAGGATAAGTAGGATGAAGAAAGGTGCATTGATGTGTGTCTTTATGAAAATTGATGGGAAGATCAAGATCATGGGTGGAAGGATCAGATGACAAAGAAACTGGTGCATGACATGTATCATTAATCTGTTGTCTTCTGAAATAAACATGAATAATGGGTGGTTATTCTTAAGTTGGAGGTACACTATCATCAACTTGCTCAGAAGACACATAAGAAAAAATACTATTATCTCTCGCTTCGTAGAAGTACTATTCTGGAATCTATAGATGAGCCACTAATTTTCCTTCACTTGATCTATAGAACTTGACTGTGAGGAGAAAATAGTATATTCTCTAAAAAGATTACATCGTTTGATAGTAGATATTTATTGAGGTCTGAAAAGTAACACCGATATCCCGTTTGCAAACGAAAATATCTCAAGAAGATACATTTTAAGCTTTTGGGATCCAACTTAGTAATATTGGGTCGTACATCTCGAACGTAACAAGTACTACTAAATAACTGTAGCTCTACCGAAAATAATGACTTGTTTGGAAAAAAAAATATTGTGAATAATATCACATTCGAGTACTGCAGATGGTAGACGATTAATCAGAAAACAGGCAATGGATACAACATCAATATAGAATTACTTAAGAACTTGTATATGAAATAAGAGGCCTGGAACAGTCTCAAGTAAATATCTGTTCTTTTTTTCAGCAATTCCATTTTGAGATGGTGTATCAACACAAAAAGATTGATGAAGAATTCTATGTTGAGTCATATAATTCTGAAATGAATCTGACATATATTTTTTGGTATTATCACTTCTTAGCACATGCACAGAAACATTAAATTGAGTTTTGATTTCTGCATGAAAAGCACAACAATGAGTAAATATTTTAGAACGATTTTTCATAAAATATATGTAAGTCATTCGAAAAAAATCATCAATAAAAGTAATAAAATACTTAAACACTATTTTAAACATAACATGACATAGGCTCCAAATATTATAATGAACTAATTCAAAAATAGACTCAACTCATTTATTAATTCTTGGATTTGATAAGGTACGATGATATTTTGCAAACTGGCATGACTCACAATCTAATGAAGATACATCATGAAACTGATGATACTATTTCTTCAACACAGTGAGAAATGGATGCTCCAACCGACAATGTATTTCAAATGGAGAGACAATACCAGAGCATACAACCGATTGATACACCCAACTATCAACAATATAGAGACATTTTTGATACATGTCATTTATCAATAATATGCTTCATCATAAGATCCTTAAAAAGATAATGATCAGGAAAGAATGAGATACAACAATTAAGATTTTTGATAATTCTATTTACATAAATTAAATTGAAAGTAAGTTTAAGTAAACTTAAAATAGATGTCAGGGTAAGGGCGGGAGTTGGTTTTTATAGTCCCAAAATTCTCAATATTATAGGTTGACCCATCAGCAATAGTTATAAGAGATGGTGCTCTGTGTGATCTAAAGTGAGAGAATATATTAGGATTACATGTCATATGATCTGTAACACCAGAATTAATCACTCATTTATTTGATGAGGAGATAAAACATCTCTTACCTGATTCAGTAGATGTAGTGCTGGTGTGCATTCTTTCAAAAAAATTTGAAACTGAGAAAATCTTGTATACTCATCGGCTGAAAGTATAATACTTTTCTGAGAAAAAAAATTAACAGCAGTAGTGGTAGCAATATTTGTAATTTGTATTCTTTGTTTCCGATTCTATATCTTGCATTGCCGTTTCATACGTCCTTGCTCATGATAGTAATAACAAATAATATTGTTTGAATCATTATTTCGACTATCTATTACTCTGTTTCCTCTTGTGTTATTGTTTCTTCTTCCTCATCTAATAACAAAAACATTAGTATGCTGATTAGGTATAGTAGTTTGTGTGCGTAATACTTTATTGAAAACTTCCTAAAGAGATGTGCTTTCGGAATCAAATAGAATTTGAGATTTAACAGTCTCAAATTTAGATAGAAGACCAGCCAAGAAACTCATTATGGTCATCTGCTCTTTCTATGTTTGCATACCTTATTCTTTTATCCTCTTTTAACGAACTCAAAAGGAACCTCCTTATAAATAAATTTTCTTTTCCAATTCCTTGTGTAAAAAGACATTTTTCACCTCAACCTGCTATAATTGTCAGTTGAAGTTAGCAGCAAAGGTAGTAGGATGCATACCATTTTCATCTTTGCACTAGTGCAAAACCTCTTGATAGTTAATTCTGTAGGTCTGGGTATATCCTTCGGCACAATTTATCTGTATCTTTTGATAGTTCTATCAAGTTTATATTTGATAATGAACATTCATTTGTAATTTATCGGTCTTTTCCTTTTTAGGTAGATCCATCATTTTTCAAGTTTGATTTTTTTCAAATGTCTGCATTTCAACATTCATAACTTTTTTTTTTTTTTAGTTTTTTACTGGTCAAAGTCTCAGATAATGTTTTGGGAAATGATACTATATTTAGGCTAATAAAAAAATTTTGTGAGTCGAATAATTGTTTTCAAAAGGCACAATGTCGGAAATTGGATAGAGTGAATGTTTAATGCATTCTCTAGTCCCTTTTCTAAGTACAATAGGTATAAAAAAGGATAGTAATTCTCAAAGTTACCTCACTTCAAGTGCTTGATTTAGATTCTTGAACCAACTTTGGATCAAATCAAAGTCTTCCTTCTTGAATACATTTGGGTAAAATGTGGGTCCTGTATCGATTGAGGTTTAGGCTCATCTTGTGAGATTTGAGATTTAGGTTCATTTTGTGAGTTTTGATCTTCTGGTGAGGTGATGGGCAGAGATAGTATAGGTAAAGTGTTTAAGCGTAGTGGAGGAAGGTTAAAAGATGAGTCTCCCAAATCTCCCTTATCTTTTAATATAATATTTTCCAGAAGATAAAGTTAGTTAAAAAAAGATTTGTTCTCAACAAAAGTTACATCAGCGGATACATAAATTTTCTTTATGGATTAGTAGTAACACTTATATCCTTTTTGAGTGGATGAATATTTCATAATAACACACTTGACAATCTTGGGATTGAGTTTTTCTCCTTGTGACTGATCCTAGTGTGAATATAGGTAATACACCCAAAGACACAAGGGATAAGGTTATTGGTGACTCATACATCTGGGAAGAATATTATTACTAGAACTTGCATTGGACTTAGGGAGTTTAGAAATCTAGATGGTGACTAGTTGATAAGATATGTGACAATTAACATGATCTCCCGCCATAATGTTTAAGTAAATGGTTTTAAAACAAGAAGACGCATGCGATAATAAGCAAGTGGCTGTTTTTTCTTTCTGCATCTCCATTTTATTGTGGAGTATAGACACATGAAGACTCATGAACGACTCCTCTTTTTGAAAGGAGGTCTAATTATAATAATTTCGAATATTATCAGTTTTAAGAATTTAATTTTGACTCCAAATTGTGTTTTAATTATGATATAGAACTGAGAAAAAATATGATTAACTTCATTTTTAAATATCAATAGAAGAAGTCAAGTAACCCGAATACAATCATTAATAAATAAAATAAACTACCATACTCTAGAGATGTTAGGAATATTAGAAGAACCCAAATATCATTATGATTTAATTGAAGAAGAAAATCATTTCTTTTATTATTTGGAATAAAAGTTACACAGATATTAGATTTCCTCCTGAGTTCTTTTTTAGATATGGATTGAGAGATTTTCCACTTTATATGGATTGAAAATCACATCACGTAAATGTGAACTCAGCATTTCCCAAATGATCACTTTTATTGAATTTCTAAGTATGCTACCTATATTTATCGGACTAATATACTTGTACTTGTACTTCACTATTTCTTTCTTATGTTTCTTTGTTTTTGTTTTAGGAGAACCAATGAGCTGAAATCTGAAGTTGACATTCACGATGATGCTATTTCGAAATTCAAACAGTTCTGGTCACACTTCAGAGATGCCCCGTTAGAAGGTCAAAACTTACAGGACAGTTTTATCTATATTTTTTTGTCGCTTTACTTACCCACATATGATGAAACCATATCATTTTAGGTTACATCTTTGTGCACGAATTTGTGAATGAACACTGTGTATCTTTTTAATTCCTGGACAGTGAAATATTATGCACTTTGATGTTTAGCTTAACAGCAGTCTCAAAATGATTCAGGGAGAAACGCTATCTTACGTGGAATCTGCCCACAAATTTTTGGACTCTTTACTGTGAAGCTTGCAGGTATACCATAATCCATGTGATAACTTCCTTATTTATTTAAGATGACAATTGCATTGTCTAAAAGTTAGAAAACAACCGATAGATATGTGGGGATTTTATTAAAATCTGAAATGGTGCTCTCTCTTGCCTACTTATTTTTTCCTTAAATCGTTTCAACATCAATTAGTTCTCACATATTACATGTCATGCTAACTTTTTTGCTTTACATTTAGTTGCACTAACGCTTATTGGGGGTGTTCAACATGTTGATGCTTCTGGGACAAAGGTTCGGGGGGAGTCTCACTTGCTTTTGATTGGTGATCCAGGTTTTCTTTTTGACTTTTGAACTTGAACTTTTTATCTTTTTACTAAGTGCTTTCTTGTAGAGGAAAAGTAGAGAGGTAAAATAAATAGGCACCGAGTTGTTATCCATATTTAAGAGATTTACATGTTACCAACAAAAAGCAAAATATCTATAAAGGTTTCTTAGATCCTTTATAGTGAAGAGAGGTTGACCATTAAGCAAAATACCAAAGGTCTAGGACCAGTGATCACTTATAGTGGTAAAAGGCAACAAAATACTACTAGAATGAGTGAAATTACATACTTTTTGGAGTTGTAGTCTTTAACACCAACTCCCACACAGTTCTCATCCATAACAGAGCCACTAACTACCCAGGATAAATTAAGGAGGGATAGAGTTAAATTCCATAACTTTCTGGTCTCAGGTCACCACAGAAGGGAATAGTTGGGGGGACACTCTCTTTCACGCTCTTTCAAACACATAGTATAGTCATTGACGATGCAGCTATCATGCTTCTCAATTTATCAAGAGCTAAGATTCTACCCCATGCAGCTTTCCATGTAAGGAACATAGTTGAGGTATGGTTTTTTCTTCTAATTTTGCCTCCAAAACGATCTAGAAGTGAACTCAGCCTTGGAAAGAAGATTTTGATAGAAGTTGATGGAAGGATTTCATAGTGAACAAACTTTTTTAGTGAAGGGCCACATGGAGCAATCAAAGGGATTAAAATTGGTGCATGGCAAGAATTGTTAAGCTTGTCAAGCTCCCAAAAATTGTTAAGATTCCAACATCTTTGCAAGCTGCTTTATCACAAATCAAATCATTTTTTTTTTGGCAATGGCAAAGGTGTTCGGGAACCTTTCCTTAAGAGATCTATCCTCACACCAATATCTGCCCAAAACTCAATTTGGCCACTGTTAAGTATAAACAGTATCAATTCTGTAAAACAAGCTTCAATCTTAGACTGATCCTTTTCCAAAGACTCATACCATAACCATGCGTGCTTCTAGTCGTCCTTTAATTATTGCAATATTGGGGAATTCAAATCCACTTCCACCCTGTCGCCAAAGGAGACTAGTTCATTTTTTTTTTAAAGTTGATATGGAGGTCCAGAACTGCACCAAAGCAAACAAGAAAATAATAAAGAATCATCAAAGTTGATATGGATTCATCAAAAACTCTTTCACTCCTGCAAAATGACAACGTATCATAATCTAAAAGTAATTGGATGACATATTGACACAAATGGTGAGCACCAGGCCGGGGAGGGGGTGGGGGGGGGGGGGGTGGGGGGTGGGGTCGCTTATATAAAAATAATACATATTTCAAATTTACTAGGAGAAAATAAAAGAAAATATAATAAAATTAAAATAAATGGGAAAACAAACATAATGATTTACGGTAGTTCAGTTC